GAGTGGTGTTTTGTTATTGGACTTCTGTGCTAGTCACAGTTTGTCCATAACAAACACCATGTTCAAGCATAAGGGTGTCCATCAGTGCACTTGGCACCAGGACACCCTAGGCCGGATCTGGACCAAGAACTGGCCCGACTGACAGGGGGCAGTCCACAGTTCCTGGTAAATGTTGTTTCTCTGACCCCATATGAGGACTACACTCTTAATTGTCCATTTAATTGTCCACTTCCTATTCTTCTTCTTTGTTCCTAATTTAGTTCCTTTTTCCTCTATTCCATCTCTAACTTTTTGTTTTCTCTTTTGATCTACGTCACTATATTCTTTTCCCTTCTGTCCTCGTCCTGCTTGTTATACTTTTTTGCTCCTTTTATTTGATTTGCTGATTCTTTTTTCAACCCCTCATTCACCTATTCTTACCCCCCTTATCTCCCTCTCATTTTTTTGTCTTTTTCATTTTTTAATCCTTTTTCTACTCTTTCACCTTCCTAACTTCTTCACTTGCTCCATCTCTTTCCTTTCCTCCTCCTTCTATCTTTTCCTTTGGTCCTGCATTCATGAAACAGGCTCTGAATACATTTTATTTAAAAATTGTGTGACATGTTATATATGTTCTCCTCTCAGGATGCTATGAGTTAATACATCAAGCTCAAGAACTTCAAAAAGGTAATTATTTTTACCCAGATATTTTTAATTACCATTGCTGTCAATTGCTTTAAACAATGACTTATGTTCCCTTAAATAAATTGCAATTGTTTGAACATCATATTCCCCTTTTCAGTCTCCCAGTTATCAGATAAAGAAGAAGAGGTGCACGTACCTGAAATCCAAACTGTCACACATCAAGAGGAAGATCAGCAAGTACAACCGCAGACCCTGAATCCTCATCTAAATCTGTGATTGTTTTCCTCACTTCCAATGGTGGACCTGATCATAGGCATTTAAACAAACTTAACAGCGTGTGATGGTGACAATGAACAGCTCTTCAGCTTAAATATCACATCTGTGTCAGGGCCAAGAATTAAGCTTTGTCAGAGATGAGCAGGTAAAGGAAACATTCATAAACTGTAGTTTTAAAAACATATTTATGTCACCATCATTGATCAAGTTTTTAACAGATATATTGTTATAAACGTATGAACATATTTTTTTATCACTGTTGAATTTACGGAGGGGATGTGATGTGAAATATTTTGCTTCAGTGCAAATGAAGCTGTTTTTAATTATATTACATTTTAAGAATCAGTGAAGGAGCAGCTAAGTTGTATTAGATAGTGTGACAAAAAAGTAACTGAGCATTCTATGTGAATATTGTTTATATTATCAATTTAAACAGTTTTAATCTTGGCAAAGTTTGTTTGTTTTTATTTTTTTTTTCTTGTGTATGTAAGCATGATTAATGACAGCTCCTTATCCTCATAGTATCATTTTTAAACTGTCACGTCACTTTTTTCTATGTAACTCAAAGCCAATAAACAATTTCACCACTTCTGTCTTTTTTACCAGCTTTTATTGTGAGACAAGAAAAACAGTCATTGTTTATGTATAAAACCACAGAACATTTTTAGTCAGTCACGTGACTCGTCTCGTTGGATAACTAAGGTTTATCCAATTGAGAAAACATGTTTTGTAGCGTAAATAATAATTAAAAAAAACTTATTTTAATTCTCCTTTACATGCTGTATATGAATACCGCAGAAGATCGTTCCAGGTGTAATATATAGTGATGTGTCGTTCGCGAGTGATTCGTTCAAAATGAACGACTCTTTCATATGACTCATGACTCTCGAGTCATATGAAAGATTCGTGACTCATGACTCCCGAGTCATATGAAATATTTGTTCATATGGAACTCACGAATCACTCACTGCGAACTAATTACACTCTGCGAACTAATCACACTCTGCAAACTAATCTTTCACTGTGAACTAATCTTTCATTGCAAACGAATCACTCTCTGTGAACTAATCTTTCATTGTGAACTAATCTTTCGCTGTGAACGAATCACTCTCTGTGAACGAATCTTTCGCTGTGAACTAATCTTTCGCTGTGAACTAATCTTTCGCTTCGTTCTCGCAGATTCGTTAGATTCTTCACATTGTGGTGTGTTTTTATTTCTTAGCTTTTC